TGGAAGAAGTGGCTGCTTTTAATGTCCAAGCAAATTCTCACAGGAGCATGCTTTGCTTGGCTCCTTTTATGAAACAAACCCTCAGTCTCTGAATTATGAACAACTCATCATATTAAACCAAACAGGTGGAATTTCAGCATTGCTTACATTTTAAATATTTCCCAGAAATATTAAGGTTACTCAAAATAGCTTAAGATCAGGAAAATTACCAGATGTTGGTATATTTAGCAAACATTAGACTGAAGAACTAATGTTGACTAACTGAAATAGTTTTTGGTACACTAAGGTGCGTTAACTTTTCTTAAAAGGCCATTTCTAGAAGTTAAAATCTCTTATGTCATAGTAATTGTTTATGAAGAAACCAAGAGATATCTCCATATTTGTGAAAACAAAAGGCAATCTCTTAGACACTATATTGTCTGTCTGTTCTCTTGGACAATTTGAAAAGTCCATTTCTGAAGCCTCTTTGTTTCTGGAGCTGAATAACATCACCAGCTCATCCACATAGTTTTGGTAATAGCAGCGTTCTCATTTAGGTTCATATCGCCCTTGACTGTGTTTTCCATTATAGCAATTTACATAGCACTTTTAAGCACACAGCATGTTAGGTTTTTCTCAAAGTTGCTACTTTGAAAATGTGATTAAGGAAAATGCAATAGTCCATTTTGAGAAAGCATAAAGAAGAGTTAAACAAGAACAATGTTTTAGGAAAACGTTAGTGAAAGGTTAGTGGAATGCAGAATTAAAATATTCAGCATGATCACTAATCTTATTTTTTCCCCTCTGAATAATCTTTCCAGTAAGTTGAAACAATAAAATGTTTCTGTTTCTAAACTTCTTCAATATTCATCACAAAGAATATAATTAACATTGTTTATTATAATTTTATAGCTTTTACTCTGCTTCACTTTTATCTTTGTGGCCCATGGACAGTTTTATAATAGGAACAGCATAGGAATTATATAAAATAAATGAATAAATAAGTTAGATGGTAATTTGCCATTGCAGCTATTATAATTCTCTGGAAGAAATTCCTTATGAAAAAGCTGTGAGTTTCAGCTTTGCTCTCTTTTGTAATGAATGCCCAAATTCAAAGATGCATACTCAGTTGTATATTTGGATATTTTTTTTCTCCTTTAGATGGGATGAGGATAAAGCTGCAGCAAGTCTCTACATTATAGTTCCACCAGAATGAATGGCAGACTCTTGTACAGAAAAACAACAAAATGAATATTAGGAATGTGTTTTAAGGATTGGAGTTGGCAACTGCAACTCCATATTGTATAAATCCATGAATGATTGATAATTATATCCCATCAATTTGGTGTCAACTGCATAGATTTTCTTAGGATAGCCTGCCACAACTTGGTCCTTTAGGTCTTCAATTGGCATATTCTTCAGTGCTGTAATCAAATCTATCCACCTTGTTGGTGATCACCCCCCACCCTTCTTTCATCTTTTCCAACATTATAAACCTCTCTAGAGAGCTATGTCTTTGCATAATGTGTTTAAAATATGATATACTGAGGCATGCATCAAGCAACTTTTCCTCATGCAATTAAATGAAGTCACATTCCTATTCATTTGTAGTGTAGAGCAGTGGGGGAGAAATTTGTCCTGCCAAGAAAATTATTATCATAAAGACTTTCATTCTGAGGTTTTTGGAGGATTTCATCTCCTTTTCTACACAAAAAAATCCTCCTTCATACAAATCATTTCAAAGCTATGTCCTGGAAAGACATCTTCCTCCAACAAAAATTGACTAAAAGAGATGAAATGATATTATTTTCATCAGTGAAGCTAGAGTGGTGGTTCAGTTTTTATGTTCATCCTGCCAAATTTGGGCAAATAGTAAGCTATCCTTGATTTATAGAGGTAAAAAGGGGGTCTAAATATATCTCAGAACAGCATTTCTTAACTTAATCCAATTGGACGGTATTTCTTAATGTCCTGAAAAAATAGTGATTTAATTTCCTGAAATGTGTGATGCCACAAATGTGGTATATGTCTATGGCCTGATAGACAGAGTTATTTCCAGCTGTTTAATTTTTCAGACTGATAATTATTTAGTATTTATTTATTTCATCATATTCATATGGCCACCATTTCAGAGACAAGTGACTGGGTGGGGTACAACAAGGCTAAAAACCATATATGCTGACAAATATTATTATGTTTAAAAATGTTAAACTTATAAAAGGCGAAAAACTATCCCTGAGGCCCCCAGGCCTGATGATATAATTAGATCTTGAGGGGACTACTGAATATTTAAAAGGGATAAAGTCAGACTGGCTTTCAGGGGAATAATGTTTCATAAAGTAGGGATCCACCAAGTGAGGCTCCCTATTCGATGGGACTGCCCTCTTTGCTAGATTTAGTGGGATGGGCAGATAGAATTAGGAAGAGACAGTCCCAGAATTAATATGGCCTCATACTATGTAGGGCTTTAAAGAATAAAACCAGCACCTTGAATTGGACCCAGAAACAGACTATTAACCAATGCAGCTTGCAGAGCAGCAGTGTGCTCTTCTATGTGGTTGCAGTCTGTACTAGTGAAGCTTCTGGATACTCTTCAAGTAGTATCTAATGCATGTAGACTGCATTACAATAGATCAACTAGGTGGTGACTAGGGCTTAGGTGAATGTGAGTAGAGTCCCTTGATCTAGGAATGGCACACACCTGTTGCACAAGGTAAAATTGTACAAAGGCCCTTCTAGCAACTGCTACCATCTGCTCCTTGAACAGGAATTGTACATCCAGAAATGGCTTTGGGGTGGATTTCCATCAGTACGCTGATGATACGCAGCTGTACATTTCCACCCCAGGCCACCCCAACGATGCCCTTGACGTGATGACCCGTTGCCTGGAGGCCGTACGGGTCTGGATGGGGAGGAACAGACTCAGGCTCAACCCTTCCAAGACCGAGTGGCTGTGGCTGCCGGCGCCTCGGCATAGTCAGCT